CCTTGGGCTGTTGTGGTCCGATACGAAGTAAGCCTGCACACTAGTCTTCGGGCCTATCAGGCTTCCATCCGCCCCATCCTTACTTATGGTTGTGAAACATGGCCGCTAAAAGTGCAAGATACAAAGAAGCCTGAGGTCTTTGACTATTAGTGCTTACGTCGTAAAGTAAGTTGGAGCGATCAGGTTTCCAGCGATGAGCTTTGATGGTGCTGCTTGAAAATGGACAAGCTTTACCAATCGACATCGTCTCTGAATTTCTCAATAACCTTGAAGGTTGTTTCCTTTTATTTATTATTATTATTATTATTATTATTATTATTATTATTATTTCCTTCTTTTGATGAGATGTGCAATTTTCGACTGAAATGCGGACATCTGTTAACTCAAAAGTCTATATAAATACTACAACGCCGGTAGTCTAGTCAAGTATTCCGAAGACCCGACGCTCAACTCTCGCGGTAGGATGTAGCCCTTGCATCATGCCGTGGACGGCGTCGCTGACTCTGCGAACAGCTGGAGACATGAAGCAGTACAATCAAGGTGGATTTGGAATTACTGGGTCTCCAAGCCGTATATGGAATTCGTAACTGGAACCAGAACTGGGTCTCACTGCAGAAGCCTTGCCACCGATCGTCTCTCGTGGGCCGCTATCATTAGAGATATCCAAGAAGCTGACTTAATCCCTCAAAAGTAAAAGTGTAATTCGTTGCACAACATGAATGCGCCCCTAGCAACATCGACGCGTAGCTGGAGTTTGTTCTTGGTTTGGCTGTTGGGTTGGGTGGTTTAGTCGAGGTACTTAAAGCCAAGTTGACATTTGACTCACCATTTGTGCTGACATGATATTGCACTGGGATTGCTATGGTTGAGATGGTTTTGCTTTTGAGCGTATTTCAAGCCAATTTCTTCGGTAAACGGATGAAGGTAAAATTCGTTTTTGGGGCAAATTAGTGCAAACCCGAATCCTGCATTTTTCACTTCTCTGATAGCGGTTAGTATTTTGCTTTCAATTTCTAATGAATGATATGTATTTTTAGCAACTCTTAGGTGATTTTCTTTTTTGTTATCGCTGCAGTCCTGTTTCTTTTCTCACATTCCTTTTCTGTCACTTGGGTACTGCATTGTTATCTTCCGAATTTTTGTGAAACCTTCATGAGGTAAGCACTAATAGAGTATACCCAACCTTCGTGAAAACCTGCTGTTCGCAAATGAAAATGAACAACCTAAAGCTCAGGACTTTAAGGGACAAAACATGTGGCCGATGGGATTAGTGCGGTCGTGAGCTTTTGAGAATTTAGATGAAACATCAAAATTTTGGTTTCGTATTTGTGAAGCTTCCAATAATTGTCATCATTAAAATAAACTTCCTCGTTTATCCTGTCACGCTGGTTATTGTTTTCCATCTAGGCTCGAGTGACTCGTGAGGGTGATGAGTACCTGATCAACCCCCTTGGCTTGC